AAACCCTAAACCCAAATTCCTGAACCCTCAACCCCTAGCCGGACACCCCAAATCTTAAATCCCCAACCCTGAACCCCAAACCCAAAATCCTACTTAAACCCTCCTCCCCAAAGCCTAAAACCCGAAATCCTAAGCCGAAAACCCGAAATCCGAAAGCCGACAAGCCCGAAATCCGAAATCTGAAAGCTTAAAACCCGAAATCCGAGAGCCGAAATCCGAAAGCCGAAATCCGAAAGCCGATAACCCGAAATCCGAAATCCTAAAACCCGACATCCTGAAAACCCGAAGTCGGAAAGCTTAAAACCTGAAATCCGAAAGCCTAAAACCTAAAACCCGAAAATCGGAAATCCGAAACCGGTGCAGCCGGATCCTTCAGGAAGCCGGTGAGGCCAGCGAACTCTTCGGCAGAGGGGCGGCCTCTTGGGCTTTAGGGCTTAGGGTTTAGGGTTTGGGGCTTTAGGGCTTTAGGGCTGTAGGGTTTAGGGCTTTAGGGTTTGGGGCTTTAGGCTTTAGGGTTTAGGGTTTAGGGTTTAGGGTTTGTTTGTTGTTAAGGGCCTTAAGGGTTAGGTTGCTTTGGCGTATCTAAGGCTTTAAACCTTTAGGGATATCGAGGGGTTTTACAACATCAGGGCTCCCCAGGGGATCCTAAATCAAGAACCCTCTAGGGGTTCTTAGGGGTCTCGGACTTTTGGGCTGCACGCTATGTTTAATGGGGCTTTGGAGTATCAGGGCTTTAAGTTGTGTAGAGGACTTCAAGGTGCACCACTACTGCTAGCTAGTAGTAGTAGTAATAGTAGTGGTGGTAGTAGTAGTAGTAGTAGTAGTAGTAGTAGTACTACTAGTACTAGTAGTGGTAGTAGTAGTAGTAGTAGTAGTAGTAGTAGGTGGTAGTAGTAGTAGTAGTAGTAGTAGCAGCAGCAGCAGCGATAATAGCAATAGTAGTAGGATTGGCAGCAGGAGTAGTAGTAGTCGTCGTCGTACGAGTAGCAGTAGCAGTAGCTGTAGCA